CACCTTACCGTTGCTGGTCTGGCGAGTCTGAAACGTTTACTTCCAGTTCAGACCGCCATTTTTGATTCCTTACCTGTATTCCTTGTGGTCTCCTGGTCCGGTGCTTCCCTGCTTCTGCCACTCTCCACGCAGCCCGTTCTCAGCTCCAACACCGGGCTTAACTGTAAGTCTGCCCCCTTTGTAAATCAACAGCCGCAAAATTTCTACCTTTCACGGCGGGGCTCTGTTCGTGTTTTTCTTTCATGTATTTCAAACACTCAAGCCGTTCGGCTAATTCCCATACACATATCCACCTATGCATCACATGTTTATTTCGTTTATTTATACGAACGCGACCGTTCGTTCACTTTCTACTGTATTAATCTTTTCGGTATTCGAACGGCACTTAGGGGACGCATTCATTCGTATGATTAAGCTGTTCATGCATTTCTTTTCCTTTCGGTAATTACGGCCAAACTCACGACATACGCACGAATTTCACCTAGTTCGTTATTATACTTCCGCCGCTGCTGGGAACAAATGATACTACAGTCTTCTAAAATTCCACTTAGGGGTTAAAATATAGTTGATGAAATCTGAATGTTAGAAACTAATATTCCTGACCTTTTTCCACAGGTCCATACCTAGGATCGCATACTTATGGATTCAAAATTGTGATTACTGACATTTGTGTCAAATTGTGTTTTCTAGGTTGGTTGAAATTTTGATTATTATAAATTATGCTTTTAGATGAGTTATACATGTTAAATTAGTAAGCATGTAAATTACTCTTCTAGGTTCCTGAATTTCAGGCGGTTGCTTTTACAAATACAAGATAGCCGTCATCATCCTCTGTTTAATTATTACCCCCTGCATAGTGTCTGGTAGGTTCATATGATTTCGGGCCCACGATCTGGCCAGCTTATACCGTAGGCACAGACACTTCTATATTAATTTTCATGTCCATAGGTCGCATCACAATACTATTACAACTGCTGTTTATCTCAACATTGACAGCTCGTCCTGACTCACAATCAGGTACGACGCCAGAACCCAGTACTTTTCTGGTTTTAGAGTGGTACTGGTCCAAAGTTATGTAGCCCAACTAGGAATAATCTTCTGGTCTTAATCCATAGGCTAGTGGTCCAGCGAGGCCAACAGCCTCATCCTCGGAGGTATACGTCCCTCGGGCCAAATCATAGCTAGCCGCCTCACACTGTCGCATAGAGAGGGCCTCACCTGTCACTCCCCTTCTATCTTATGCTTTAATTGCCACCAAGAGGCCAACACCCCGCCACAATGTTCGGTGGCCTCATACTTCCCCCTCGGGCCCACGCATAGGTAGTGCCTCTCAGGCTGCTTGGCAATTAGCAGGGACTCATCTGTCACTATCACAAAATATAATTATTTCACCGCTGGGTATCTAGCTAGCCTCACCAGTACCCACGCAATTCATTACAGAGTGATTGATTAAGTTACTTTATATTTTTCAGTTGTCACAAACGCCTGATATCCCTAAGGAACTTTGCTACCCAGCATGCCCGCTAGGCCTGGTACCCCTGTTCCTGGAATGGATGTTAATAGTCCTTGGTCCCTAAGATCATGGACCATCCCACGTCTTACTGCAGAACTAAGAAGACGCTGCATCCCTTTCCAAGCTACCGCTAGGAAAGCAGAGTTGTTCAGATTATTAAACACTACTACTGACAACTCCGATGCAGGGGAAGGCCCTAGTGGGACTCAGTTGCCAGCATTTCACGCTATGATGACTTCACTTATGTCATCCATCGGCACAATAAGCAATAGACTGGATAAATTGGAAGCAGGTGGTGCCAACCAGACCGCTGCAAATCCAACTGTTACCAGTCACCCATTCGCTGATATTATGCCCGGTAATACTTTGGAATCGATGGTCCCATCTCGCCTTAAAAAGGACATTCTGGAGGGCAAGGATGTAAACCTGCTTTCATTGTTCATTGCTTCCCAGGATGTCCTAGAAAACAGGACCTTTGCATACGGGGATATCTCAGTGGTTCTAAGAGCAAGAGAACCCCGGCTGAACAAGAAATTGTCTATCCCTGAATTTGTGCTGGGTTTTGAAATTTATAGAGATATCTACTGCTCAGTTTACCCGGAGAAAAGAGCGGAGTTGTATGCATACATGCACAAGATGGTGGATCTGGGGCACAAATACGGTGGTACCGCTTTTTACGATTACCACCGTTCCTTTTCTGCAAAGGTGACTGCGGCTCTGACTCAGTTCAATTTAAGCATAAATTGGAGCAAATTGGACACAGAGTTATTCTGCAGGCACTTTGCAGGCCTCAGGCCCCCATCTTGTGCAGTGTGTGCATCTACCGCACATAGCACCAATTTCTGCCCAAATACGGCAGAAATTGAACAAGGCCAAACTCCCTCTAATTTCCAAAGACCTACTAGAGGCCTAAAAGACAAACTGGGTAGAGATGTATTTCTAGCCCAAGATTTGTAACAATTTTAATGCGGGTAATTGTGGTTTCAGCTCTTGCAGGTTGATGCATGTATGTTCCCACTGTTTCAGGGCCCATTCTAAGACAATGTGCCCAAATAAAGCTTTTCCCAAACCGTATCACACGTGCGTGAACCTCACATTATTGACCACACTGTTACGACAACACCCATCACACCATTTCGTTGATTACCTTATCACGGGACTGACTGAGGGATTTCACACCGGGTTGGTATATTTACCTACCCGCACGCTGGAATGTGACAACCTACAATCCACATTAGATGATCCACGGTTGGGAAACACACTTATCATGACCGAGGTGACACAAGGGTTTCTGTTGGGCCCATTCTTTTCCCCACCTTTCACATCTTTGAGAACCAACCCCATAGGAGTTGTCACGGGGAAGACCTCACTCAAACCTAGACTGATTATTGATTTGTCTGCACCACATTCCTCCACTGTCCCCAGCCTTAATTCACTCATACCTTCCGAAGAATTTTCACTACACCACTATCGATCATGCCATAGGGGCCATTCTTAAAGCTGGCACGAGGCATGGCTGTCACGTATTCATCCGCTTATAGAAATGTGGTTAATGACATTTACTGTCCACACAGGAAAAGTTGTGCCGAGCAGCAACCTAATCCACAGAAGGGTTAATGCTGAGCAGCAATTATGCAAATGAACCGTAGTAACTGACTTTGGGGTCAAAGGCCGGTTACAGCCTATCAGAACTAAAGGAGGGGTATTTAGGCCCAGTTCTCAGCCTGCTCAGTGCCCTGTCGTGGTTTCCCTTGTGGTTGTCCGAGAGCGCGTTCCTGTTTATAGTTTTCTACCTGGTTTTTGACTTTGGCTTTGTTTATTGACTTCTCTATATTCTGGTATCCTGACTCCTGGCTTTCCTCATCGCT